GTAAATGTACTAAAAGTCATTGAATCGCACTTTAAAGGAGTGAACCTAATGGCACCTAATTACATTTCAATAAAGCTCTTATCGAACAGCCCACAGTTTTAAATTTTCTTTTTTGTGGTACTTAGGTTTGAACTCACGCTCACTAGGCAGATGCTCTACCACTTGAGCCACTCCACCGGCACTTTTTTGTGATGGGTTTTTTTCAAGACAGGGTTTTGTGAACTATTTGCCTGGGCTGGCTTCAAACTGTAATCCTCCTGATCTCTGCCTCCTGAGTAGCTGGCGGCAAGAACCTCCAGTGCCTGGCACCACAGTTTTAAAATTCAAGAGTAAAAGAAATGATGCATTATCTTTTTAAATTATAAAAAAAAAAGAAAAAAGAGGAGAGAAATGAAGGCTGTTTCTAGAATGCTGCACCCTCTTTCCTCCTGCCTTCCCCAGACTTCACTTTCTGGCTCTGCCCACAGGCTGACTCTAGCTATGGCAAGGAAGTATGCCTGTCCCATATCACATCCTCTCTTACAACCAACTCGCCTTGGAGCTTGCTGTCCTTCAGAGGCCCTACCTTCTTTCCCTTTGTGCTAGGCCCAGGCATTGCTGTCCTCTTTGGGCCTTAGGAGAGTGGGATTCCAGGCAGGGTTCTTTTGAGGAGAAATGACCCCCACAAGGCCATACCTGGAGGATAAACTGACACTTCCTGGCTTGCAATACTCTGAGCCCTTGACACACCACCCTGGGCTCTACGGGGGGAAAAAACTGAGATACAACTTTGGAGATTTCCGCTCAGCCCTGACAAGTACAACCTCATTCCTGATTCTCGCTGGTGACGCCTGGAGATTTGTGTGGTCACTGGGGCCCAGCCTTGTACTACTTCCCCATGAATAACTGGAGTAAACTCAGCAATTGTGTTTAAGTCAATCTTTGGTGACAAGTGGCTCTCTGAACACTCTTTTCTCAAAGCTCTGTCCTCTGTTTCTGAGGGACGGTCGCCACCCAGCCCTGCACCAGCAGATGGGCCAGGCACCGTCCCTGGCACTTGATGAGTCTGCTTGTCTTATTTCCTCCCAGGGCGTGGGGGCATTGAAACCCTTTTCTCCAAGGGCTTCCCAGGCTTTGCCAGAGCCGGCCTTGTCACCCGTACCTCTAAGATCAGCAGTGGTGCAGGGCTTCCCTAAATCGTGGGTGCTCCCATGAAACTCCCTATATAGTTATATTACACAAACAAAATGTCTTTTTTCAAAAGTGGAGGACAGGAAGGTCCTAGGTCCTGTCTGAGAGGTTGGTACCAGCGGGAGCGGGGAGGATATAAGGAAAGGGTAAAGGAGGGTGACTGCGGTAGAAATATTCTGTACTTATGTATGAAAATGGGAAAATGAGACCTGCTGAAACTACTCCAGGAATGGAGGAGAGAGGAGAATTATGGCAGAGTGAATTCAACGATGACATATTGTAAGAACTTTGATCAATGTCACAATGTATCCCCTATACAACAATAATGAAAAAAGAAGAAAAATAATAAAGAGTGGATGCTTTGTGGTCCCCACTTGGTGCCAGAGCAGCAAGGCCTCCATCAGATCTGCTCTCCCAGCCCCATGGTTTGGCATGACTGGCCAGATCCAAGAAACACAACCGGGACCTTGGTGGCTGAACCTGAGGTTTTTTTTTCAGGACAGACAGGCACCTGTCTGCTTTGAGGGGCTACCTGGGAGCTGGGTCTGCATCCAGCCCCACAAAGGCTCCAGGAATTCTCTCTGCACAAGAGAAATGAGCAGCCCTGAGGGGCTCAGGGGACGATGCTGCTCCTGCAAACACAGGGAAACACCCCAGCCGTGCCTCACAGAGTTGGGCTGAGGGTGTGCTCACCTGGCAGGTAGGTAGTGCCTAAGGAGGACTTACTGAGTGCAAGACTCTCATGGCACCGAGTGCCTCCCAGGGTGTTAGCTCTGGTATGCATGGAAACTTCTACACTGTCCCCATTTATCTGCTGCCCCCACGGGGATGTTCTTCCCAAAGTGAGGTCTAGGGACCTGGCTATGCTGGACCTGAGGCCCAGACAAGCCATCTGAGGCCCTCAGAAGAAGGCCCACCACAGACAACACCGAATGGCAAGGTCAGCCTCTCCTTCTAATTGGTAACCTCAGTAGGAATATCAGAGCTGCTCCTTCCTCCCTTTATGTGTGTTTCTTGAGCACCTTTGTGTGCTGAGACTCTGGGATACGGCCATTGTGCCCATCTCACCAATACACAGACTGACAAAGTCAGGAATTTCATCTGCATGGGACAGGTATGCCTGCAAGTGTCCCACCACCGGCTCACACTGGGGCACTGGGGCCAGCCTGGTTTGGGTGAAACTTGTCTCACAGAGGGGCTCTCTGACATGGAGGTGGGAGGCTGGGAGAAGCTGAGGTGAGAGCCGTGGGGGTGGGCTCACCATCTTCACTCTGTGGCCTTGAGCAGTTGAGAAGTCTCTGGGCTAGGTCCTAGTGTCCTCATCTGTGAAATGGAGGTCATCATGCCTACCTGGCCCTTTGAGACAGCTGTCCCCAGCTTCAAGGCATGTGCTATATCATGGCCTTGGGTTATGTGCTTTGCAGAGCACCCTCCTACAGCACCCAGCTCATGGAGCTACAGGACAACCAGCAAAGCAATAGGCAATGCTAATTCTCCCTGTCATAGGACCAGGGAGGTAGAGGCTCGCAGATGATCTGAATAAGGGCACACAGTGAGTTCCATCAGCATCCTGGCTTTTATATTCAGTTCAAGGAACCCATAGGCTCCATCTGCTGGAATCCCAGGCCTCTCCTTAGGCCAGCCTGAGACTCCTTGCAAATGGGCAGCGACCTTGTCCAATAGCCCCTTAGCTGTGAACTTGAATGACCATGAGCTGGCATAGAGAGTAAGCTCTCTGTCATTGAGCTGTGTGAGCAGAAATGCATGAAATCCCCCTGGGGGCTCAGAGAGCACAGAGCACTTCCAGACATAGGCTCTCCCCTCTCCCCACAGCTTCCCCTCTGGGTGTAGTCATACTTCTCCACATGAGAATGGCTGGTCACCTTTCCTGTCACCAGACAGGCACGATGCCTCATGCTGCCAGTGTGGCCTGTTGGGAGCAAGAGAAAAACAGAGGGGTGTGCATTGGGCCCGGAACGTGCTTAGCTCCATCCTGCCATGCTTTTCCCTTGGTCTGGTTTGAACACACTGTCATGGGCGGGTCTGGACTCAGGGTGACTTTCTGGACTGCCTGAGTCCAGGAGGAATTGCCACCCTTCAAGGGACAAGCCAGGATGACCATATGTGTTTTGCAAGGCATGATATCAAGCTAAAGAAGGGCCCTGGTTATGCTTGATGTCTCTCAGAATGTGAGGGGCAAGGCTGGGGGTTTTTACCCTCCACAGGAAGATGGAAGGGTCTTCCTTTCTCTTCTACCTCTGCCTAGAAACCCTCGCCCTGAGAGGTGCAGCTTAGATCAGACCTGTAGAGCTGGCTGGCGTCTGCTGTTCTGTTGTTTCCTGCTTCTGTAGGCCCTGTGCACACACCTGTCTTGCAAGGTAGATGTGGGATTAGATCATATAAATTAACAAGCATCTTCCAAATGCCTAGCCCAGTGCCAAGCACACTGTTTAACCACCAGATCTCTGGGGGATGTGGGGGTGTTCTGATTTGAGACGTTTGCCATTTTCCATAGCGTAAATGTTTCCAGTATTGCTGACTTCAGGTTATAGTGTGACATCACAGAACTCAGAGCTAGACAGAGATTTGAACATCAACCTTCACAAGTCATTTCCAGCTGATGCCAGCACCCACTGCCAGTCCCCAGCAGAGCCCATGAAGTCCTGCTGCTCTGGGTAACAGTTGGATTGGTACATGCTTCCCTCTAATTGTGAAGGCTTGGTATCTTCCCTGTTGGCTTTTATGTCACATGAATCGCTTTGTGCCAGAGGCTCCAGGGCCAACAGCCCAGAGGCATTCCTTCATCTTTGAATGGCTTATGAAGGAGTCCTACAGCAGGGGGAGGGGACTGGAATGAGAACGGATTCTCATCTGGAAGTGGGTCCATCCAATGACTGCATCACAAGGTCATGGAGGATTTGGTGAGGGTGAGGTGTTAGCTCAAGGCAGTGCCTGGAGTAGGACTCAGAAATTAGTACACTCATGGCCACAGCCTGCACTGCTTGCAGTAAGGTTCAGAGATGTCAAGGAGAGGAGCTTGTCTGTGGGAGTTGAGAGGAGAAAGTGGGAGGGAGAGATCAATGAAGGCTTCCCATAAGAGGTGGCATTTGGCAGAGGTAGGGGACACACACACTTTGGGTCTAGGCGTTTCTGGAAGCCTCTCAATGTTCCCACCCCCAGAATCTCAGCACACCTGGGAATCTCCCAGAGCTCCGAGATTTAGGGCAGATAACTTCTGCTTTGGGGGCCTGAGTTTGCTTAATTGGAAAATGGATACAATGATACGGGTACCGGCACCATCGCTGCCCTGAGGGCAGGAAAGATCCTAATCCCTGATTGTGTTTAGCGCAGGCTTGGGTTCCTGAGGATAGGATATCCCTGGGCTTCTACACTGCCTATTCTGTTCTGGCACAAATTCTAAGATCTGGTGCTCTGGCTAAGGCACAGTGAGACAAGGAACCTGTTGCCACCTCTCAGGGAAGATCGGGTTCTCCATGGTCAGACAGCCCTGCTGGGCGTTCCAAAGAGCTTCCGAGCCAGGAGCGAGTCTGGAGCCTGGAGCCGCAGGTGGGGGCAACAGGAACCCGCCCGCAGGTGGCTGTGCACGGCCGCAGCCAGGTGGGTGTGCCAGGCCCCGCCCCGCGCGCCGGCCCGGGGGGCGGAGCGAGCGAAGGCCCCGCCCTCCTCGCGCGCAGGGTGGGAGCCGGTGCGGGAGCGGAGGCGCGCGGAGCCGGCAGGAGCACGCGGGGAGCGCGGCCCCGCAGCGGCCCGGCCCGAGGGAGCAGCACGCAGGATCCAAGCAGCGCTGCGTCTTCCTCTCTAGCGCGGACCCCGCCCCAGCGCAGACCCGACCCCGAGCGCGGACCCCGGATCCGGAGCACGGCCTCGTCCGCCTCGCTCGCCCCGGCTACCCGGCCGCGGGCATGGACGGCGCCCGCTTGTCCTGTGAGTGCCGAGCCCTCCCGCCCGCCGCCTTTGTGTGCGCGCCGCGCCGCCGCAGCCCCCTTCCCGCGAGCCCCTCCCGAGCCCCGGGCCCGTGTCCTTTGTGGAGCCGCCGCCTGGCCGGTGCCACCCCCACAACCTCCCCCGCCCCGGACTCGGGCTTCACTGCCCCCTCTACGGCCTCCCCCGGGAGAGCCCAGAGGGACCCGTTTGGGGCCAGGGTTGGACTGGGCACAGGCCCCCTTTTTCTGACCTTCTGGTTCCTTCTGTAGCCCCTCTGAGCCCTCGGGAACACCCAGCAGGCTCTCCCCAGGGTCCCTGGGGCAGCCCACGGATAGGCCATGTCCGCGGCTAGGGGCTGAGCGGGGAACCGCATCCCTTACAAACCCGAGCCTCCCAGTCCGGTCTGCAGCCCCTCTCTCTGGAACCCCAAGGGCGGCCTGGCAGGCCCCCTCTGCGGCCGGGGCTGGGCAGGACGCGGGCTCCTGGGAGGCGCTGGCTCATCCCGCGGCCCCGGCAGGTGCGGCGGGGCCGGCGCTCACGCGGGCCTGTGTGTCCTTGGCCCGCAGAGATGGACGGCGATGGCGGCCGCCGAGACGCCCCCGGAGCGCTGATGGAGGCCGGGCGCAGCGCGGGGCCCACGGGCATGGCGGAGCCGCGGGCGAGGGCGGCGAGGCCCGGGCCCCAGCGCTTCCTGCGGCGTAGCGTGGTGGAGTCGGATCAGGAGGAGCCGCCGGGCCTGGAGGCAGCTGAAACGCCGAGCGCACAGACCCCGCAGCCCCTGCAGCGTCGGGTGCTTCTGCTTTGCAAGACGCGCCGCCTTATCGCCGAGCGCGCCCGTGGCCGCCCCGCCGCTCCCGTGCCCGCCGCGCCCGCAGCGCCTCCCGGCGCCCTGGGTGCACCCTCGGACCCAGGCCCCGAGCCCGCGGGCGCGCAGGAACCCAGCCCGGATCCTGCTGCAGCCGCAGCCGCTCCTGTCCCCGACGGCGGCCAGCGGGAGGAGGAGGCGGCAGCTGCGAGACAGGAGGACGCTGGACCCACCGAAGCGAAGCCTGAGCCTGGGCGCTCACGCAAGGATGAGCCCGAGGAGGAGGAGGACGACGATGAGGACGATCTCAAGGCCGTAGCCACCTCTCTGGACGGCCGCTTCCTTAAGTTCGACATCGAGCTGGGCCGGGGCTCCTTCAAGACTGTCTACAAGGGCCTGGACACCGAGACCTGGGTGGAGGTGGCCTGGTGTGAACTGCAGGTGAGGGTGCAGCTCGCAGGTGGGCTGTCTGTGTGCGTCCTTGGGCGCGTCCTTGCTTCTGTGCAGGGCCTTAAGCAGCCCTTGGGATGGTGTCACCCTCTGAGTGGGTGGCTGGGGGTGGGGTGGGAGTGGGGGACCGGTTCCAGGTGTGTGGACTGCCCGTGGTGGGTGGCATTTCTGTGTCTGCGCAGATTGTGGTTTGCCAGTCTGCTCCATGCTGGAGGTCAAGGCTTGGGTGTGCGGTGCTACTGTGCCTAAAAATGCCCATTGGTGTGGGGGCACGTATCAGCTGTGCTCCTGAAGAGCAGACTTTGCTGAGCCAGTGAAGCCTGTGGCAGTGTCGGGGCTTCAAGATCTCTGTCATGAGGTAGTTTGGAAGCTCCCAGCTGCCCTTAAATGAGCACCTGCTTGTAGGTGCTGTGGATGTCTGCAGGGGACTTCTGTGACCCAGGGGTCCGTGCCCCACTAGTGGCATCTGGTAGGGCCCTGGAGTCCTGCTGGGCAAGGCTTCCAAGCTCTGTCAGTAGTGTCTTGGTGCTCTAAGGGCTCAGTTCACAAATTAGATGTGTGAGAGGTCTTAAAGCTTTGCAAAATGCCTGTGCCCATGGGTTTTTTCTTTCCTTCTTTTTCTTTCTTTTTTTCCTTTTTTTTTTTTTTTTTTTGATGCAAAGGCGCTGGCATGCATTTTTCATAACCTTGCTCCCTTGTTAGCTGTGTCAGCCCTGGCTGTGGAAGATTATATAAAGGGCAACCCTAGCAGTCCTGGGCCAGCCTTGGAAGAGGAGGCAGCTCCTGTCACAGGGGGCGTTTCCAGGCCCTCCCTTGCTGGGAGGGGGGCAGCTGTCAAGCAGGGCTGACTGGGAGAGGGCTGGCTGGAACTGTAAGCCTACCCCACTGGCCTGTAAAGTTAGCTGTCTTTCCAGAGCTGACGCAGGCCAGGCCAGGCGAGCTGGGGCAAGCTGGGTGTCAGGGCCGCCGGCCACATTGCAGGACGCCTGCATTTTTTGGCTCAGAAATGGGATTCAGGTGGTTTGTCCTCCAGCCCCTGCAGGGTGATCTGCTTGTGTGTGCAAGCTGGGCTAATTTGGTGGGTGTCAGTCTTTTATCAGTCCTTCTCCTGAGACAAAGAGCTGCAGAGGTCTTGCCTCCTTACAGCCTTTGGTTCTGCCTTGGAAAAGTGGCTTTGCATGACAGAGACTGTGGTGTATCTTTGGGGTCCTTCAGTAGGACTGAGCCATTCCTTTTCCTTGTCCTCCCCCTGCCCCCCTGAGGAATTCCCCTCCCTCTTGCCTTACAGGTTCTAGGCCTTACAGAGAGGTAGCCTTGATGGTGCAGGGTGTGCTGGGGTGGTGTGTGGAGGAGGGTGCAGGGTTTGTGGCCAGGGATACTGGAGGGGTGCTGTTGTTCCTGCTACATGAGAAGGCAGAGAGGAGAGAGGATCGGGAAGGGGAGAAGACAACTCTAATTCTGAAGACTGGCACGAGCCTTGGCTCCCCACCTTCCTGCTCCTGCCAGATGACTGGTGTGGATCTCTGAGTACCCGCTGGTGTGCCGCTGTGGAATGTCACTGGGGTGGAGGACTGAGTAGGGTTGATGCAGCAGGCTGAATGTGAGTTACACCTCGCAGCCCAGCCTGCTGATCCAACTGAGGCGTTGTAGGCCAGGAGGACTGTGAGCGACTGTGTTCATTCCCCTTCCCTTTAAGGAAAGGCCAGCTGCTCTGTCTCTGGGTGTGTCCTCTAAAGTGGGCAGGACAGCAGGGGGGTGGGGCCTGGCCTCTGTCCAGGGGGTCTTTTGCTCTAGATACATGTGGGAAAGCTTCTGGACTATAGTGCTCTTCCTTGCTTGGGGGTTTCTGGGACCCCCGGCAGGTGGGGAAACTGTCACCACACTTGCCCCAACCTCAGGTACTGCTCCCATGGAATCACTTCCTTCTGCCTGGGCCAGTCTGGTAGGGTTTTACATGACAGGGGTCTGGACCCAGCATAGAAGAGCCCTTCTGACTGAGAACCTGCAGAGGTCGAGGTCTGTGCTGGGACCTTCCTTATCACAAACCTTAAAGATAGTGGGGACATGGAGTGACTGCCCAGGTCACCAGCTAGGAGATGGCCAGGGGCATTGAGGGATCAGGAAGGAAGGTGCTTCCTTAGTGTGGAGGATGGGGCATAGGCTGACTGTGCAGAACCATTGGAGGGGCCCAGCAAGGGACCTCTGTGTAGTATCCTGCACTAGGTGGGGTGGTGTAGGCAACAGGGATCCCATAGTCGCCATCAGATTGTGGCACCGGCTAGGGGAAGGGACTGGAGTCCTTGTCCTGGGTTGGTGGACAGGGTCAGGCTTCCTCAACCACTGAGGCTTCCTCAACCTCCTGGCAGGGGGAGGTTGACAGGTAGGCACACCTTCACCAAGTGTGTTGGCTTTGCATCTGGGGAGGGGTCTTCTTAGTCCATAGTGTGGAGATGTTTTCCTGTTCCAGCACTCCCAGGCATGAGGGGCTCCTAAGATTCGGGTTTGGGTTTACATGGTGGAGGGGACAGTGTGACCTTCAGCCAGGGCATCTTGGTGAACCTCACCTACCTCTGTCCCCCTCTTCCAGAGAGCCCGTATTCACCCAGGTGCCTACTGGGGGCTGCTTCCTTTTCCCACCCTTGGGCTGGTGGACTTCTAGAGTGCTGTGACTTTCTCAGTATTGCTCACTGGCTCTTTCCATGGTCCGCTGCTGAGGAGTGGAAACACCCCAGTCGTGGACCTATAAAGTGGCTTAGAGGACATCTGCGTTCCCTCAATGATTTAGTGTTGAAAGGGCTTTGTGGGGAGAGCAGTGTGTGCTTATCTCATATCCAGGGGCGGTGAGATGTCTCACCTGAATTCTCCACATTCCCAAAGCTGAAAATTGAATGTTTTTGGGTTTTTTGTTTGTTTGTTTTTTTGGTGGGGAGGAAGCCATTTGAAAATATTACCTCCCTGTCATTTATTTTTTGAGTGAACTTTTATTCCTGGTACCAGAACACCTTACAGTAACAATGAAGGAAGTAACAAGTCCCCAGAATCCTACTTGCCCTCGTTCTCTTTCCTCCTTCCCATGTTCCCATGGCTGCCTTAGGCCAGCTGTGGTCCTGCAGAGACCCCTGTCCTGTCAGAGAGCATGAGGAGTTGCTTAGGACTCCCTGTCATCTCTGGTAGCAGCCGCCTGCTTGGTGGCCGTGATGGGTCGTTGCTCGAGGGGGCAGGTCTGTGTCCTGCCTGCGTGTTGGCAGTACAGCCTGCAAGGCCCACCTCTGGGGACTGATGCATTTGAGACATGTCTGCTGTGTTTTGGCCACAGCACGGTAAGATGGGGGTGCCTGGTGTGATCTGCCCAGTGTCACAGCTTGGCCGCCCCTTGTTTGGCTTCCTCCTATTGGTCAGGACAGCCTTGTCCCTTCCTTTTGGTGTTGAGCTTTTATATCTGCTTTGCTCTCCTTGGCTACCTGGGTAGTTGAACTGGCACTGTCCTATGTTACTCAGCTCTCGCTCTTCTACTTGCCTGCCAGTGGGCCCCAAGAAAATGGCAGCCAACCCAGAGCCAGGTCATTGTCTGGAAGCCTGTTGGAGGCTGTCCTTTCCTGGCCCTGTCTGATCCTGGTGTGTCTCTCTCGGACACCTGGAAGGGGTATGTTTCATACCCCTACTGATGTCGATTCTCCCTGCCAGCGTCCTGCTTTCAGGAGATGTGGGGTCTCAGGCCTGGGTGCCATTGCTTCCATGGGACCCTGTGTTCCTGTGGTAGTCAGGGTGTGGGGGCCTGTTTACCTTGTGGGGGTGTTCAGTCCTTGTCTCTCTGCTTGGAATGCTTGCTGGGCTCTGGCAGGGTAGTGTGACTCCTAAACAGAATGGGGGCTGGGGTTTGTAGTCCTAGCCCTTCCTGAGCCATGTGTTCCCGACTCATGCAGCCCGGCCAGACGTTCAGTGTCTTGTCCATCTGCCAGTGCCTGGTAGTGCATGATGCCATGGAGGCTGGACCTGTGTGACTCGCACCCCCACTGCCCTCAGCAGTCAGCCCCAGTGTCCCACAGCCTGACCCACTTGTGGCCTTGAGAGCCTGAGTGCTGTGTACTTACGGCCTCCTGGCCATCGCTTTGCCTGCTGTCATACCCGCTCCTGCTCCTGTGTGGGAAGAAAAGGGGGTGGAAGGTGACCAACCACGGTGAGAGCACAGAGGAGAATTTGTGCCCTCTTGCTGGGACGGGACACCCTGAGAAGGCTAGGCCTGGTTTGGCTGGCCGTCACCCTGCCTTTTTTTTTTTTTTTTACATCTCCTAAGTGCCTGATTTTGTTGGAAGAGCTGTAAATTGAAGTCAGTTTGGATGGCAGCAGTGAGTCTGACCATGGTTTTGGCTTGGTTGATGAGAAAGGTTGGCAGACCTGTGGAGATGGCTTTCCCTCAGGTGCAAAAATGTGGGCGCCTGGCACTCAGGCCCCCTCCTCCTGAGTGCTGTGTGAGGTATGTGTGGTCAGTGGTGTGGTCAGTGGTGAGGATGAACAGCCCAGGCTGTGGCCACTGTCGGGGCACAAGAACAGCATTCTCCCATGGCTCGTTCCCTGTTGGAAGCAGGTGTTCCTGCAGCTGAGCGCATATGTATATGGGGTAGGGGGGGAGGAGATAGAGAGGGAGGGTTCTCAGAAGCCCCAGCCTTTGGAGGTGCCTGGCTGAGCCTGATTCAGGGCCAGGTTGCCGTGGGACTCATTGGTGTGGATCTGCCCATCTGAGCCCCAAGCCAGGACCCAGGACCTTCTCATATGTGGGGTGAAACTGGCACATGCTGATTGACCTGCTGTCCCTGAGCTGGTGTTTTCTCAGCTCCTGTGACCAGGGAGGAAGCCTGAGAGGCAGCAGGATGTACCTCCTGTGGCACCAGAACCGGAGCGTTCCATGATGAAGGACATGTCTCTGTCTCTGCATTCTGTTTCCACCAGCCCTGCCGGGCACTTGGCTGGGGCAGCTGAGCACCCGTGCCTTG